GGTCGCGGAGGACCTTCCCGTCGTTACTTTCGTCGCAATTTCCGCGGAGGAAGAGGCGGCGGACCTCCGCGTCGTCCTCGCAGCCAGGACGGCCAAGTAAAAGTCCGTAACGCTTCGTCTACCGATTAATCCCTTCCCCGACACCTATTCTCATTTATTTACTTCTATTTTCCTCTATTATTTTCTTCTATTTTCTTTTTCCTCGTACACACGCGGCAACTTTCGATCTTCGCTTTCTTTCGCTCCGTTCCCCTTACGTTTCGTAGATTTTCTTCTCTCGCGACGTTCGATCTACCGTTTATTCGAGTCGTCGTTGTCGTCGTCGCCGCTTTTCGTTTCCTGATTCGCTAACTTTCCTAATTCGACAATCGTCGAGTTAAGTACGCGATCCTAGAAGATAAGTTTAACGAACGGCTACGTCGAGAACGATTACTCGTTATTATTAGGAACCCGTAGTTCCTTGTTGGTCGATGCGCTTGTAAATGCCCGCGTTATCGTTAACGGATCGCACGTTTCTTCGGCCGTCTTTTTCTTTCTAGTTTAATCGTCGTCCAGCGTACGATACCATACGATACGATCGACGCGAAGACCGCGCGGGGTTCGGTCCGTTGACGAATTTTCGTACAGTGCCGTAGCTCTTGCACACAGACACATCACACTCGCGCACACACACTATTGCACGTATCTTTTTGTACTCTTTTCAGTCGGAGCAGAAGTCGGATGCACCTAAAGATAAGGATGCACCTGTCGCTGCCCCTGCTCCACAGGTAACGTGGCTTTAGTTTTCTTTCTTTCCCTTCGTTCCTCCCTTCTTACAGTATTACAGTTTCCCTTCCTGCATCGTCGAAACTTTTCGTCGAATCGGAAGCCAATTTTCACGAGTGTTTTACGTTTTGAAAGTTCGAAATTCCTGGTTGAAATCCCCTCTCTCTCTCTCTCTCTCTCTCTCTCTCTCTCTCTCTCTCTCTCTCTCTCTCTCTCTCTCTCTCTCTCTCTCTCTCTCTCTCTCTCTCTCTCTCTCTCTCTCTCTCTCTCTCTCTCTCTCTCTTTCTTTCTCTCTCACTGGGTTTTTCTCTTCTTGTGCCAGTTTTCTAGCTTTCTACGTCGCTCCTGTTTACCCTTCTATCGTTCTCTCGCGAACACGTAGGCGCTCGAACAATAGATGCGGTCCGATTAACGAGTCGTTCGTTTACCTTGCAGGAAAGTCAGCCGGTCCAAAACACCACCACCGAAAGCACCGCTTAACCGAGAGTAACGGTACCACTACAACAAAAACACTCCTTTTAATATGTAACAGCAACACCCGTTATACACCGAAGCAACAGCAGCAACAGCAACAACAGCAGCAACAACAACAATATAACGTAACAATTGAAAAAAATTAAAAAAAAAAAAGAAGAAGCAACAAGAAAGAGAAAGAAACCTAGAAACACCACTCCACACCCTCCCTGGAGTCGAGAAGGGCGCGCGCGAGACGCCGCCCGATACGGTTCGAAGAAAGGGTGTAGCGAATGCCGCGAACTCGATCGCGACGAGGGAAGTCAGCGATGGATCGACTGCGAGCGAACAAACTTTTTCAACTTGGACTCATCGTCGATAGTTTTGTAATTCTAAGTAGCCGCGGTGTTCGGTCACCGTCGCTCGATCGTCATTTTTCTTTTCTTTTCTTTTCTGGCCTATTTAGGCCAGCGCCTATTAGGCGTCGCCGGAGGCAACGATTTCGCAAAGTCGAGAAAATCGCTTTCGTTCGCGTTCGCGTTCGCGATTCGACGACGATCGACGTCGATCGGGGTTCGTCGGCGCATCTCGTTGCGCGGTGGCGAAAATGAATCGGAAACGAATATCGCGGCCGCGACCAGTTCGATGCGCGCGATGCCGTGCGATGCCGCGCTCTTAACGGGATAATCTCGATCATGAATGAAATCGGCAAACTACGTCTAAACGCGAAATAGAAAGGAGACGAGAAGAAAGACTAGAGGAAAGGACACAGACGTACACAGACACGGTGATGGGATACGATACGAATTCGAATTAGCGAAAGTGGTATTTTTGTTCTTGTTTTTGCGTATTCATTGTTTCTCGTACGTTTTAATTTTTCTTCGACGAAACGCGTTCGATCGTTTTACGCACATATATATATATATATGTATATATATGTCCGCGTATATGTATCATGTCCTTTGAGTTTAACGCGAGATCCGCGGTGTTTTTCTCTTGTCCCGCGCGCGTGTTCTGGATAAACGCGCGTTACGTCGAGCTCGAAACCGTACGGGCGTTTACTCGAGATATCGCGTGTCGGTTTAATCGTTTCAGTTTTTCTCGAAATTATTCCGTTTTTTTTTTGCCTTTATCGAAACGCGAAATTCGATTCGTTTCGTTCGTTCGTTCGTTCGTTCGTTCGTTCGTTCGTTCGTTCGTTCGTTCGTTCGTTCGTTCGTTCGTTCGTTCGTTCGTTCGTTCGTTCGTTCGTTCGTTCGTTCGTTCGTTCGTTCGTTCGTTCGTTCGTTCGTTCGTTCGTTCGTTCGTTCGTTCGTTCGTTCGTTCGTTCGTTCGTTCGTTCGTTCGTTCGTTCGTTCGTTCGTTCGTTCGTTCGTTCGTTCGTTCGTTCGTTCGTTCGTTCGTTCGTTCGTTCGTTCGTTCGTTCGTTCGTTCGTTCGTTCGTTCGTTCGTTCGTTCGTTCGTTCGTTCGTTCGTTCGTTCGTTCGTTCGTTCGTTCGTTCGTTCGTTCGTTCGTTCGTTCGTTCGTTCGTTCGTTCGTTCGTTCGTTCGTTCGTTCGTTCG